TTAAAAATCATTAAAAAAATGGAGTAGAAATTAAAATTATATTCGAATTTAAATGTGTAAGAGGGCCATTTCCGGACATTTAGAGGTGCCATAATCATAAATTTTCTTAACTAAGTTCCAACCATATTGGCAGTGGCAAATTCAAGGGTGAAGCCCAGCCGGCCCGCCACCTTACCCGAAGTTGTTAATAGTTTAAATGATTTTTTGTTCTAGAGTGGATTTTTTATATGCCATTAATAATAGAATCAACCTTAAAATACGATTTTACCATGACGCCACTGGCGAAAAAGTAACAAAAGATCGTGTAAATAGCGCCACGTAGGGTATCCACCGCGTATGATCTTTGCATGTATGCTGTAACCATGGCTGTAAATTGTGATTGTTACAGCATGCACGCAAAGATCGTACGCGGCGGATGCCCTACGTGGCGCTATTTACACGATCTTTAGTTACTTTTCGCCAGTGACGTCATGGTAAAATCGTATAATCGCCTATAACTTCATAAAAAAATAGCCAAAAAACGATTTTAAGGTTGATTCTATTATTAATGGCATATCAAAAATCCACTCTAGAACAAAAAATCATTTAAACTATTAACAACTTCTATATTCTCGATCTTCAGATGTAGTATGGTCGTAGATATGGCAAACTTTTTTGTACCTTGTCTAAAATGATGATTCGAATGAAACAAATTTATATTTGGCCAATTAGCACACTCACCGCCGGCCACGAAAAATGGAAATTTCAGAAGAAAATAATGTTGATTTATTTTTATTTTTTGGCCTACCATGTTGTTTAATACGACAAATAATAAATTTAAAGTGTTAAAAATGTTGTATATCGCAGGGAAATATGCAAAGGAGCGGAAATCAAGCTTTAAGTAGCAAAAATCTAATGATGGTCACCGAATGGGTATTTTATAAACCGAGAGAAAAAAAGGAAAACAGATAGGAAAATTCATAACTGTGAGTGAGGGGACATAATCTTATAAACATTTGCACTATATTTGGGGTTTACATTTCTTCTAATAAAAAAAAAAATACAAAAACACAAAAAGAACAAAGTCATTCTAATCTAAAAGAACAAGATTGCACACTGTCAAAAAAAAATATATGATCATATGCTAAGGTCTGCTAAGAGAAGCTCATCCGACTTTAAAGGACGTTCCGCCCTTTTTCTGGAGGTTCCCCCAGCCCGCCCGTTCATTTTTTTTATCTAGTGATGCTAAATCAATAGAGGAACGTTGGTCCCTGCAAAAGGTCACGGGGGGCCCTGATTTTCACTACAAAATAAGAAAGAAAGGGGGAAAGAAAAAGATAAAAGAAATGAAAATCGTAGGATAGAAAAGGAAAAGAATAAGAAAAAGACATAAGAAAGAAATGGAATGGAAAGGAAACATAAGAGAGAAAAGGAGAGACTAAAACAGAAAATGAAACATAGAAACAAAAGGAAACATAAGAAAGGAAAAAAAGAAGAACAGGAAACATAAGAAAGAATAAGAAAAAGATAAGATAAGATTATTGTTGTTATTATTATTATTATTATTATTATTATTATTATTATTATTATTATTATTATTATTATTATTATTATTATTAATAGGCATATTATATTATTATAATTCCCCAGTAAACGGAAAGCTGAATATTCATAGATTCTTCTTATATAAAATATATTTATTTAAACAATATTTTGTGAGGGTGGTCCATCCAGCCTGAGCTGATCAATTGGGACCCTCAGTACATACAATTAGAACATAAGTATAAAAATTAAACTTGATCTTTAACATAAAGAAATTAATTTAATTAAACCAGAATATGAATTCCCATTGGATGAAAAAAAATCACCATCAAAACACTAATTTCAATATTGAATGAACAATCCTGTCTAGGCATTATGCCCGCAAAAATGCGAAGCTTTGGTATTGGCTTCCGCCATTGTCAGAGGTCTGGAAGCCCTGGCCTTAAGAAAAAAAAAATGGTTCTTGTGGGAATCGAACACACAACCACCGGTTTTGCTATTCATTATCCACCATCAAATAAACTGCCTTAAAAAAGACAAATAAAAAAACAAATTGGTTCGTGTGGGAATCGAACACACAACCACCAGGTTTGCTATTCATTATCCACCATCAAATAAACTGCCTTAAAAAAGACAAATAAAAAAACAAATTGGTTCGTGTGGGAATCGAACACACAACCTCCAGGTTTGCTATTCATTATCCACCATCATATAAACTGCCTTAAAAAAAAGAAAAAAAAAAAAAAAAAAAAAAAAAAAAAATTGGTTCGTGTGGGAATCGAACCCACAACCACCAGGTTTGCTATTCATTATTAACCATCAACTATACTGCCTTTAAAAAAAAATTGGTTTGTGTGAGAATCGAACACACAACCTCCAGGTTTACTATTCATTATCCATTAACTAAACTGCCTTAAAAAAAAAAAAAAAAAAAAAAAAAAAAAAATTGGTTCGTGTGGGAATTGAACACACAACCACCAGGTTTCACGTAACATGATTAGTCTATTGTTTTTCTAATTTGCATAATAAATTGTTCAAACATTTTTGTCTATTTAAAAAGAAGTGCGTGAGTTATGGAGATGGTAGCAATCAAAAATCGATTATAAATTTAATTCTACATTTTTAGACAAAAAAATAAACCCTCTTGGCCCACGGCCCATTTTTGACACCATGACCATGCATAATATTAACCTGCAGTGTATATATACTAAGAATTTTTTCTAGTAGGGTCGGAGTTGACTAACTGGTACTTGGTGTGGTGCTAGGTTTATCGCATTTATGGTTTAGGGGCCGCGGTTTACCTCCCTCCGTTTAGTCATGCTGGATCATGGGTAGTAAACTCGGCGATCGTGGGCTCGATTCCCACACGGGGCAAGTTTTTTTTTTTAATTTTTTTTTTTATTTATTATTTATTTACTTTTTTGAACGTTGTGGGTTCGATTCCCACACGAGCCAGTATTTTTTTTTTTTTTTTTTTTTGTTTTTTAGGGATTTTTTTTTAAGGCAGTTTAGTTGCTGGTGGGTAATGAATAGCAAACATGGAGGTTGTGTGTTGGATTCCCACACGAACCAATTATTTTCCTTTAAGGCAGTTTAGTTGATGGTGGATAACGAATGTATTGTACTCGTTGATGACGTCGCGAAATAACAACAAACAACAACAACGTGTCATGTCCGAGCCTAGGCCGTCATGGAAGCTCACTGCCTCCTAGTGTGTAATTCATGTTGCCCAACTGCAGACGAAAAGATTACAATCTTTTTAGAGATAAGCTGAAAAAAGTTTTAGACAGTGCCCATCAATGGAAGGATAATACTGAGGAATGGAAGTTAGCATGGCTGTAAATTGTGATTGTTACCGCATGCACGCAAAGATCGTACGTGGCGGATACTCTACGCGGTGGATACCCTACGCGGCGCTATTTACACGATCTTTTGTTACTTTTTCGCCAGTGACGTCATGGTAAAATCGTATATAATCGCCTATAACTTCATAAAAAAATAGCCAAAAAACGATTTTAAGTTTGATTCTATTATTAATGGCATATCAAAAATCCACTCTAGAACAAAAAATCAACTTCTATATTCTCGATCTTCAGATGTAGTATAATCGTAGATATGGCAAACTTTTTTGTACCTTGTCTAAAATGATGATTCGAATGAAACAATTTATATTTGGCCAATTAGCACACTCACCGCCGGCCACGAAAAATGGCAATTTCAGAAGAAAATAATGTTGCTTTATTTTTATTTTTTGGCCTACCATGTTGTTTAATACGACAAATAATAAATTTAAAGTGTTAAAAATGTTGTATATCGCAGGAAAATATGCAACAACGACGTGTCATGTCCGAGCCTAGGCCGTCATGGAAGCTCACTGCCTCCTAGTGTGTAATTCATGTTGAGCCAACTGCAGACGAAAAGATTACAATCTTTTTAGAGATAAGATGAAAAAAGTTTTAGACAGTGCCCATCAATGGAAGGATAATACTGTGGAATGGAAGTTAGCATGGCTGTAAATTGTGATTGTTACAGCATGCACGCAAAGATCGTACGTGGCGGATACTCTACGTGGCGGATACTCTACGCGGCGCTATTTACACGATCTTTTGTTACTTTTTCGCCAGTGACGTCATGGTAAAATCGTATATAATCGCCTATAACTTCATAAAAAATATCCAAAAAACGATTTTAAGTTTGATTCTATTATTAATGGCATATCAAAAATCCACTCTAGAACAAAAAATCAACTTCTATATTCTCGATCTTCTGATGTAGTATGGTCGTAGATATGGCAAACTTTTTTGTAGCTTGTCTAAAATGACGATTCGAATGAAACAAATTCATATTTGGCCAATTAGCACACTCACCGCCGGCCACGAAAAATGGCAATTTCAGAAGAAAATAATGTTGCTTTATTTTTATTTTTTGGCCTATCATGTTGTTTAATACGACAAATAATAAATTTAAAGTGTTAAAAATGTTGTATATCGCAGGGAAATATGCAACAACGACGTGTCATGTCCGAGCCTAGGCCGTCATGGAAGCTCACTGCCTCCTAGTGTGTAATTCATGTTGAGCCAACTGCAGACGAAAAGATTACAATCTTTTTAGAGATAAGATGAAAAAAGTTTTAGACAGTGCCCATCAATGGAAGGATAATACTGAGGAATGGAAGTTAGCATGACTGTAAATTGTGATTGTTACAGCATGCACGCCAAGATCGTACGTGGCGGATACTCTACGCGGTGGATACCCTACGCGGCGCTATTTACACGATCTTTTGTTACTTTTTCGCCAGTGACGTCATGGTAAAATCGTATATAATCGCCTATAACTTCAAAAAATAGCCAAAAAACGATTCTAAGGTTGATTCTATTATTAATGGCATATCAAAAATCCACCCCTCTAGAACAAAAAAACCATTTTGCTAGTTCTCTTAAAGTGAGAACAGGGAACAATTATGTTTATCGCCCTCTATGTGAGCTAAAAAAACAACACAGAAGCATGGACATGTTTACATTTGAAAGAAGATTGTCGACTCGCATTATTTCTTTTCTGTGATTTTATGTCGGTCTGCAGACGGTGACATTAAAAAACATTCAGAAGCCAAAGCTGTTCAAGACCTCATGAAGCAAACTGTAAGTCACCACACATTCTTCCTACATTGGGCTGTCTGCGCACGTGGGAGGCCTAACTTTTCATCTGGCAGGTGAAAAGTTAGGCCTCCCACACACTGTCATCTCAAAATGGATGGATGGGCTATATCGGGCTCCAGAGCAGAGGTTTGTCGAAGCATGGTCGAATTGAGAAGAACGTTGATTTGCCTTCTTCACCTCCCTCCCTACTGCCGTGACTATGCTATTTGCTTCTTATGACAACAGGTGACTAAGGCCAATCAATGGGCGATAGACATTTTAAGAGTGGGTAGGAGAAAGATAATTAAGAGTGGATTTTAAGGATAGAAAAGTGGGATAATTAAAGTGTGGGTGGAGGGCCATGAAATTAGCTTCAGACTGGGTGGAAAACTTCAAGCAAGGCTGGCCAGTGGCCCAGCCCACCATCCCTGGATTATGTTATGTCACTATAACTGGTCAAACCGATTAAAGCCGGGTACACACTGTGCGTGACGGCGATGTGACGGCGAACGCACGCAACAGCGAGGAACCAACGGATTGCTTTTTTAATGAGGATCTGTTCAGACTGCCACTGACAATCGGCAGACAGCGTTACGTCGTCTATCGCTCGCCGGAAGCAGAGGTGGATTCATTGTGCGAATGGTCGTACAACGCAGTAAGTGCCCGGCTTTACACATGCGTACAACTTTCGGCTTGTCATTCTCTTTAAATAGGCTCTGTGTATTTTCCAGGTATCGTCCCTTGAAATAATGTGAGATGGCAAACAGAATTAAAAGGTATTTTGAAGAGGTAGATTCCGATGATGCAGATGATTATGTGGAGAGTGAAAGTGAATGGCGTCAAGGATGGGAAGCCTCCAGTTCTTCTCTAACTGAGTTTACACCCAAGTCTATGCAATCCATCAGTGGCCTCCAGTCTACATCCGGTATTTAATATGATTCTCACATTTTGATATTCTTATGCTTACAAGAATAACAATTCTTGATATAATCTCTTACTAAAAGCGTTGTATTCTTCTTGTCAGCATCATCTTCTAGGTGGAAGCATCATTGTGATTATTTTCAAGCATCACTGTATTCATCATCCATAGCATAGATCATCATCATCATTATCAAAATCATCATTTTCAACATCACTCATAATTAGCTGCACCACTTACAACATCAAATAATGATGTCATGATCATCATCATGTTACATGTATATAAATAAGATTATTTCCATCATTCATAAATTAATTACCTATTATCATCATCGTCGCCGTCATCGTGTCACAATCATTATTTCATTATTATCAATGTCATCAACATCTCAATGTCATCATCATTATTGTCATCATTAAACTGTACAAATATTATTGTTTTTTGAAATATAGTAATTTAATTATTTTCAGTCTCTGAACATAAACGAACAATAATTCACATTGACATTGACTGCTTCTATGCTCAAGTGGAGATGATTCTTGACCCAGCCCTTCGAGATAAACCACTAGGTAAGACAAGATTGATAAACAGAATTGTTGTACGGTAATCAGTAGGCACCATTTTTGACACACAAGAGACATTGATTTGACTCCTCTAGTGGAAAATTTTTTCCATCCCTTTCCATCCAATGGATCTTGCCAGAGTGTCAGTCAAACCAATCTGACCAATCAGAACAAGGCTAGAAATATATGCATGTGTCTATCAAGCAGATATTTAGGTACAGTACACTTCGCTATTTTGCGAGACCTTAGCAAAACATCCAAGCAGCTTAGCAGAACATTCTGTACCTGAAAAACGCCAAGTGAAATTCTACTGCTCATTTTTTGTTCTGTTTTTTAGGAATCCAACAGAAGAATATTGTTGTTACTTGTAATTATGTTGCTAGAGGACGCGGAATTTCTAAGTTGAGTTATGTGAATGATGCGGTAAAGTTGTGTCCTGAGTTGGTTCTTGTCAGTGGAGAAGATTTAACCAAGTATAGAAAGATGTCGTACAAGGTTACAGGTATTATGTCTGTTTGTCTCGGGGGTAGATTCAGAGATATCCGAAAGGGAGGGGGGATAACACTACCCGAGGTGGAAATTTTTGGTTTCTAGATGCCTGGAAATAACCTCTAATACGTTTTGGGGTGATCAACAATTTCTTTTTCTTTCTTTCTTTTTTTTTTACTCTCCAAAACGGGGAGGCAGGGGCTGACCTGACCCCCTAAATCTGCCCCCCCCCCCAATCCGCCCCTGTGTCTTTCTAGTATCTTCACATGGTTATGACAGTCAGACCTCTTGTAAATTTTATCCTCATTTTTAAAAATTATTGAACATGAAACCTTAGGAAAAATTCATTAAACAGAATTTAATATGCTTTATCAGTATTTCATAGTCATAAATAAATAAAAAATACTGTATTAATGGTATATATTAATTTTTCAGATTATTTCCTCAAATTCTGCCCTCTTGTTGAAAGACTTGGCTTTGACGAAAACTTTATTGATGTTACGGACCTCGTCAAAAGTAGGCAAATGACTGGGAAAGTATGTGATGTCGAAGGTCATACATATTCTGAATCATCTGACGAAAAAGGTAATTGTAGGCCTATTTTTTTTAGTTTCTACTCTTTACTTGTTTATTTTAAATATTCAAGTCTGTATTGAGCAAATAATCTTGGATGCTAAAAAAACAAATTGGCAGTGGCACATGGAGAAATATATTCTCCTGTTGGACTGTTGGTATTGTCAATTTTACTAAAGTATAACAAGTAGATTCCAAAATGGCAGCCATGACCAATTGTTCTTCAAATCATGCATCCACTTGGAAAATTGAAATTTTTTACCCTTATAATGTTAATTTCATTTACATTTCTTCCAAGTTCCCAGAATACATTGTCTTTGCGGTTGTTATCAGAGATTAGCCATTGGATCACAAATTGCTTCTGAGCTGAGGTCTGGCTTAAAAGATAGTCTAGGTTTGACCTGCTGTGCTGGTATTGCACACAACAAACTTCTTTCAAAGTTAGTGGCTGGAACGCACAAGCCTAATCAGCAGACGGTACTTTTCCCCCATCAAGCGGATGAGATGATGCTTTCTTTGAAAAATATTAAGCAGATTCCAGGTACAGTATGGTGTACATATATTTTGACCCAAAATCAATGACAATAAATTACAAACTCAAAAGCTGTATAATGAGTAGTCCAAAGATATCCTCTGTACATGAATGCAGAACATCACATGTAATCATAGAGATCACACCAAGGGCCTGATTTGTAGTGGACATGTCTATCATGTGCACACATAGAGATAACTAGAGTAGTAAACAATCTCCGGTAAGGTTAAAAGGAATTTTTCATAGAAAAAATTATTGTTTTGTAGTGTATTCCAACACTATATAAAAATATGTTGTATACCCTCAGGGATCATGATTTTTAAAGACTTCGTACAAATCTTTTCCATCTTCTAGGAATAGGCAGCAGCATGTCAAAAAGGTTAGCTGCAATGGGGATAGTCTCTGTTCAACAACTACGTTCAGCTCAACTAAACTGTATTCAACAAGAGTTAGGAGCCCAACTTGCTGGTATTATCTTAAATTTGAGCCATGGGCGTGACCCTACTCCTGTTGTCCAAACCGGTGCACCACAAGTAGGTTAATTTAAATAATATTGTCACGGGCAATGATTTTGAATTTTTTTTCCAATGATATTTCAAATAACAGCACTGTATGCTTTTCACTTTATTACTAGTGGGACTCAACCCAGTTCATATTCGTTCTTATTCTCAAGTGTTAATTTCATTGTGGACGAAATGGTGACTATATGTTTGACCAGCTCTGCATTATGCTGAAAAGATCAATAAACATGTTGGAAAGTTCAGTGCCTCCTCGATCCGTGTTTATAATGTTCATTAAAAGGACGTTTATGTTTTTTTCAGTCTTTGAGTGAAGAGGACTCCTTTAAAAAATGTAATTCAGTTGAAGATGCTCGAAATCGATCTAGAAAACTCATTAGAAGTCTCCTCCGAAGGTACTGAATTAGATTATTGCCATTCTTATAATGGCATTCATTAAGAAAATATTTAATTTCTAATCAAATAATAATAGAGTGTAATGATAATTTAAAAAAAAATTCTTCATTGTGGTTATACAAGTTAAGAAATGTTTTTTTTAAAGGTTAAAAGAGGATGGCAGAGTTCCTCATACACTACGTGTTGCCATTCGCAAGTTCTCTTTACCAAAGCAATGGACTAGAGAAAATCGCCAGTGTGCATTGCCCGAAAGCATTCTGCAAAATGCCAACCTAGGTGAGTTTGATATTATACACTGCTAGTAAATACATAGTATAAATTATAATTTCATAACAATTTTGATTTCATGTCATTAAAATTTTTATTTTAAAGATGATGACACTGTCACTGAGAAGCTTCTGGATGTTGCCATGCAACTGTTTATCAAGTTAGTAGATACCTCAAAACCATTCCATCTTACTCTCATCAGCATTTGTTTCACAAAATTAGAAGATCACTTAAAGAAACCATCAATTGTTACATACTTTAAGAGGTTTGCGAAGGAACAAGGGTGTCAAGAAGCAGATGGATCAAAGGATCTACGTCACAAAGTGCTTGATAGTTCTGTCAGTGTCAATCATGAAAGAAATCAGGATGGGAATGTTGTTCTTCAGACAGCAGAAAAATTGTATACAAAGAAAAAACTCAGAATCGATAGCTGGATGGCTGGGAATTCTGCCGAAACCAAGAACACTTTGCAGATCACTGATAGCAGAAAACAGAGAATGCCAGATCAGAAACAGGAACTAAAAACAGAAATTAATCTTGGAGATAAGTTGCAGAACAAAGTGATGTTCGCAAGTGATGAAAGTGTGGAGAAGAATGCTAATAGTTTTTTTGGAAGTAGGGGATTCAATTCAGAACCTCTATTATCTTTAAAACATTCAATGACTACAGAAGGCACGAAAAAACAGCAAAGTGCTCTATCTGAAAATCCAGAAAATATAGAATTACCACCAGATGTTGATCCCTCTGTCTTTGTTGAGTTGCCACTCTCAGTCCAAAGAGAGTTGGTTGAGAATTGGAAAAGGGAGAAATCAAGATGTAGTAAAACAGAACCACCAAGAACAAGCAATATTAAACCAAAGGGAACCAAAAAAAGCATAAAAGATTTCTTTGCTACAAAGTAGACACTCTGTACATTTATTATCAAAACTTACTGTATATATACATACTACAAGGCGATACTACTTGTCAATTGGGGGCATTTTTATCGGGGTCATTTTTTCCTGGGCCATTTTCAGGGGTGGCGCCAGGATTTGCCCGACGGGGGGACGGGGGGGGGGCGTGGGCGAGGCTCGATTAAAAAATAATATGTAGAAAATACATATAATTTTTTTTCTCCCCGCCGAATTATGCTTTTTCTCCCCGACGGGGGCCCTGCCACCCCCTCTGGCGTCACCCCTGGCCATTTTTACCTACATTCGAGCTGTACATACGCTCTATGAAACATAGTATAGCAGCCGTCAATTAAATACAAATACTGTATATAATCAGTTGAACTGTCACTGCAGCATCATTTGGTTCAACTTGTTATTTTTTAATTTAAGGATTCTTTAAAGTAAAGGTGTGATAATCAGCAGAAACTTGTTTTCTTTTGTGTCCAACTAGTTAGAATAACAGGGTTCGAATTTCCCGACAGCAATTGTTGTAGAAAGAGCCTTCCATTGCTGTGGTAAATACCAGGCTTAACAACCAACATTTTACTGTCAAGCTGCCTAACCAACTGTAGGCCTAGGTATCCTTAAAAATGAAACTCAAAATAGAATAAAAACTGTGATTGTTGCTGTGGAAGAATAATTGCATTTTGAAGAAATTCAAACCCTGGATAACTAACTTCGTAATGAGTTCAAACAATATTAAGATACCCCTATAATGACCAGTTTCAAAAAAAGTATGTCACCTCACCCTAACCAGAGGTATCAGGCTTAGTCAATACTTTACTGGATTCCAAAGAGAAGCCCTGTAAGAGATCCATGCTAAATACTGTAAATACTCGAATAAGCGCCGCACCAAACCCAAAATTGTATTTTGCCCTGTGTGTAGTCAAACACAGAGAAACAGGGTTTTGAATACAATACAGTGTTAAAATGAATTAACAACACAATAAAGACAGTTATTTACGATGACGTAGGACCTATGATAGGCCTACAGAACTACGAGAATACGCAAGATAGGTAACATGGGAACGGGCATGGAAAGGGCTACGCCAATATTTTTTTTAAAGCAACGCCCTTGAATAAGCGCCCAACTAAAGCATCCAAAAATTTTATAATTGCAGTGGCGCTTATTCAAGCATTTATGGTATTTTGGTTTTTATTGGCCGCTGAGATGTCTATTTTTTTCATGTATTTACACGGATACGCCTTCACACTGGGAGAGTCGCTCAATTTTCCCTTCTATGTATCTGCTAAACATGTGGATCATGTATAAGAAACTCCCTATCTTTTTCAGTCCACTGTTCAATGATTCTCCTTCAGTTTAATGAGTAGTGTATAGAAGGTATTGCTGTGTTCATTCCTTAAATTTCCAGTCCTGTCTGCACATCGGACATTGTTGATGCACTTGTTGCGATTGTAGCCACTTCAGAATGCAATGCATATGAAATACATGGGAACACTGGCCCCACACTGAAAGGAAATACAATAATGGTTGACATAATTTAAAACACAAAATTTCTTTATAAATAGGTTATACAGTAATCATTAACGTTTATCAAACCTAGCTGTCAACAGACTTTGTGGTCTAGCAACCAGCATGGCAGGCTAGTCATATTTCTAACTAGTAACAACACTATTGTATACTGTAAGTCAGTGGTGATGTCATCACTTCCTTTTGCACTGAATTTTCCCATTCCTGACTGATAACTATATCGATATAGTAGTGCCTCCAATTTTTTGCATCTCGTGTGCAAAAACCTCATACAGTAGCTTGTGTGATTTACTACAGTACATCGTGATGGAATATTTTGATTGCTAGGCCAGCAAACCTAACAAGTTTTGCTCTACGGCGCTTGTTAACACGAATGAAGCCTAGACCGTCCTACTTGTAGACCTGGCGTAGAAAGGTATAATGGTTATGAGATAACAAGGTAGTTGACTTATAAAAGAACTGAAAAAATAAGGTAACGCTGCAATAATTCAGAATAATGTTTACAATACGTTTTAATCTATTAAACAAATGTCAGGATGTTATGCCTACATGTAAGCCTACAGGTACCTAATAACCCCTAATAAACTTCATTAGCCATAATCAATTTATTCATCTCCATAACGCCAAGTATCGTGAAGAGCTGTGCGAAGAGTGTCAGTGTATGTGCTAATTGGTACTACTAAGAAATCATTCTAATACTCGCAACTAATGTACATGCATAGTGATCACTGAGCAACTAGTACTTTGATGGATTTATGATATAGGGCCTATAGCAACCGCTCTTTTTTTTAATTTATTTTTTAAAATTTCATTTATTAAGCACTTAGCACTTTGACAAAAGGACATCAACATTACAAGAATTCAAAACACCAAAATCACAAAGAAAAAACACCGGACTATAACCTTACTAATACAAATACCTGCACTGGTATAATCAGCATTTATTAATCATTAATAGGAGATTTCGACTGCACGAAGAGGGTAAGACATAGAACGTAATGACGTCACCAAAAGTCATCTGCGCATGCCAGAACGTCGCATGGATTCTAGGACGCAATTTGGCAAAATCTACGTATGCAGAGTACGTAGGATGCTGGTCACGCATGAGTGATTCCGTTCTAGCATTGCGTCGTCGAACAAGTCGAAAGCTCCCTAATATGTAATATCTAGACAAAAAATAGTTCATCCACACAATATTTTAAGACATGAAGAAAATGTATGACTGAAATTTTATTTGCCAAAATAACAAGTTTACATGCACATATAAATTAATATAAATTATATATTAATATAATAAAATTACTTTAAAGCAATGGAAGTAGGTAAACAAAGTGAAGGTGGATGTGGGTTCTAGCAAAATAAATATTATAAAATGCAACACTATACTTTTAGTGTTATTTATATATGTAAAATCTGTGCCCATGAAACATGAATATTAATTAACTACTGTAAATTAATTAAATCTTTAATTTACCACTACTTAATGAGGGCAGTGTCTAAAGAGAACAAGCACACTAAACTTATGAAACTGTATAGCTTCTTTGATAGCACTATCAATTACTGTAGCTCATTACAACATTAAAAACAAAATACCAATAAGTGTGATGAATATTATAAATGCCCTCAACTGTGAGCATTATAATACTTGGAATAAATTTATCAACTGTATATTAATCACTGGATGACAATTTGAATGCTTAAAATCTACATTCACCAGTATTGTGCTTAACATAAAAAAATCTTGCATCCTTGACAAGGTGGTTACTCAAACAAACACCTGTGTACAGAAATGTATTCAGCTCAAACGACAATAACGCAAGAAGATACCAAGATCAAGTACCTTATACCTACTCAAATGTGTCTGTATGTTCATAGATATCAAAAATTGCTAAATGAGAAGTGAAACTGCCTATAGGTACATTAGTACTGGTTGATTATTCTTATTCTTAGAGATATATGCAGTACTAGTAGTGTATGGACTACAGCATACCTAGTGGTATACTGTACAGATTTGAAGGACCCATATCAAGAGTGATGGCTTGAGACTTACCCATTCATGTAAGCTGCCATTTAGCATTTTATGCTCAACATTAATATTTATGTACAGGTGATATCACCTGATTCATTAAAAATATCAATAATTATTATTATTAAACCAAACCATCATTTCTGGATATGGATAACTGTGCACCAGGAAAATCGATACCTGCATCACAACAGAGTAATTATTAAAATTAATAACAGACTCGTTCATGTGAGCATATTTATGACTAAATTATTTTCCTTGTAACTCCTGGGGCTCCTGATGCAAGTGTCTGTATTAATATGCAGAGTACACAAAGGTGTTTTATCAACAACAAATAAAATAATCCTCAAAAAAAAAATTCTGTAAGTAATACTTCATAAAACTGTAATATTATGGACAATTATACCAAGGTGTGATTCTAAAAGAGAAATGTTTTAAAGCCAGTTATTCACAATTAAGATATATTTTAATTTAACTATAAAATATTTAAATGTAATTTGTACAGTATAAAAGCAATTACTGCAAACAACTACTGTAATTATAAAGCTAATGAGAATTTTGAGAGCTCTAGATAAGATATTTTGTTGACATTCGTCTTTCGACTAAAAATACACATTCCTCTGCTTCTACACTGTCTTGTCTCAGCACAGAGAATAATAATAAACTACTCTACATACAATTATACAGCCACAGGCAAAAAAAAAATCTTATTTTATATCTACGAAAGTTAACATTAAATCAGATTATTACTTATTTTGTTTATTATAATATATAATACTGTACATTAAAAATATTTTTTAAAAATTATTCTTCAACATAACAAATGGTATTTTACAGACTTTATAGCTAAATTTGATTTTATCATCCAAGTTTATAATAAGTTACAACAGTCCAGGAAGGTTTTGTTTTAACCAAGGCCAAGTTAAAAAAAAAACTGGCTTTTTCTAACTTTTCATAAAAAGAAAGACCTTTCTAGTTGTGGTGATAACCGTGATAACACCATTTAATAGAGGAGAGAACATGCCAGCAAAATGCACAAATCAGTGATACATTGTGTTTACAAAAAAAGGCAAGCATGATTTTTATATTAGAAAAAAATATACAAAAAATGAATACTGTAAATATTTTTTTAAAAGAATAAAAATTAGGCAGCAGAAAAAAAGGTGACTTACAGATGTGAGAAACTATTGATTTTTAAATTGGCCTTACAGATATGCCAGTACTGTAGTATTCTTAAAAATAATTCTAGTTCTTGTTCAAGCTAGGATTGAAATAACACCGCTTCAAATTGGTATATAAATACATTTCGTCTTGTATTTTTCTTCCTTTTGTCTTGTAAATTCAGATAATTCAGAGTGTCTTTATACCAATAAACGAAAAATACATAAATATGTTTGTAGTTTTGCAGTTTGTTTTTAAATTATGAAATTACACTATTAAAAAAAAAAATTAGATTGAACCAGAATTTTAAATTCATTTTATGTATATGGGCATCAGATTTTTACTCCAAGACTGTAATCTGCATGCTTCATAAACATCGGATCTCTAGATGTTTACTCTAAGCTTCAATGTCAGTATTTGTGTGATAATATCAACGTAAATCTTTAGTACAGTGTGAAATAACCGCACTTTCAACTTTCAGAAAAGAGTCATACTGCTCATGCCCGATATGCTCTAAATATCGTCTGACTGTTGATAGAGCAATCAGAGTTTCTGTTGGACTGGGAACATGTGATACATCAGCTCGCTCTTTCCTTGGAGATACTTTGGAAGCAATGTTTGGTCCACTTTGGCGAACAAAGCTACTAACACCATTCACATCTTCAGCTGTAGTGCCTGACAGATGCCCATAATCCACATGCCCAGCTGAGGTTCCTTGCTGATGCTCAGAAGACATATTTATTGGTGTGTATGACTTTCGACGTACAAGTGTCCTTTTCAGCAGACTACTATTACCGTAGTAGTCATTGAGGCCATCAGAAGCATCACTTTCAACAACGTCCTCACCAGAAGCTGGTTCTAAATGGTCTCTAAGTTGATGAGCTTCATGTCTGTTATTTATCAATCTTCTTCCACTCCTACGTGGACGGTGTTCTCTATCAGACTCTCCTTCAGCATTTGTCACAAGATCAACAAACTCTTCTTCTACCCCTTGCAAGTTGTTATCAGATGGTAGCAAACAAATGGATTCATATTGACTACTGGTATTTTGATTGAATGTCTGATCTTCACCAATCACTTCCACTGTGCCAATGTTATCATCGATGGCAACATAGCAAGAGAACTCGGCAGAACTCATTCCTTCTGGAGTAATATCTTCATCATTGGCATTAGTATGGAGAGTATCCTCTTGTAATTCATGATTCCCAAGACCAGTTTTGGCAAAAGCTTTCTTAATGGTTTCTTGGCTCACATTCTTCCAAGCAGTATGAATCATATGAGCAGAATCCAGAAGATCCACATTGTAAGCAATGGCTTGACTGATAGCTTTAGAAAACATATCTCCTCCACTCTTCATTGACAGCAAAATCCTCTCCACAATTTGCCTTCTGTAATACTTCTTGAAAGCTGCTGTAATTCCATGATCTAAGGGATGCGCCATTGTTTCTGATTGTGGAAGTTTGATTAAGTTAATATTCTTTAATGACACATTGACAGACGATGCTGCAGTAAGTTGCACAATCAATGAAACCTTGCGATTCTGGATTGACAATGATTCATCAAATTGTTGCACCCATTCTGTAAAAATGCCAGGGGACATGCACGTGTCCTCACTACTGACATAGGTAACAGGAATATTATTAATTCCTTTAAAACAATCACGAGATCCTTCATCTTGACCAATCACCCACACTTCTGTCTTATCTGATCCTGACATATTTGTTGCAAGAACAACAGATATAATTTCCCATGGATTCTTTTCTGCAGAAGTTGCTTCATACTTACACCCAGACATTTTCTGGGGCAAGGCACGATAGTACAGCGCCACTGTACCGATAAAATATATATCATTATCTTCATATTTCAGTAATAAAGACTGCATTGTTACTTCTTGGTTAGCGTTGGAATTCTCTTGAGTTGTGTAACCTGCTGACTGAGTGTTCTTATTTATGTCTTGCCGAGAATGATCTTGGTAATAATTTATTTGTGGGACGGTGTGATTCCTAGTTCCTTCGTAAATGGACAGACTGGGTTGATGACTACTTGAGGCACTGTTATCAACACTGTTAAACCCCAGTGAGTTTTCAAACGGAAGTCTCATTAGATTAATTTTATGAACAGCTGCCCAATTTTGTAGCCAGAATCTTGAAGGTTTGAAGTCCATTCTGCCAATGTTTTTTGCAATAAGACATGCTTGTTTCATTAATAATTCCCTCGATGGAAGAATTTTTTTATGTGAAGAATCATGAAACCAAGCAAGAAGACCTTCCTCAACATCCTGATATCTCCTCCGCCGAATTTTCTTCTGGTCAGGGTTCTTGTTATTTCTCCACGCTGTCAACAAAGTCTTTTTCTGCTTTGCAATGCGAAATATCTGCAATTTTGAGATACCAAACAGATCTGCAATTTCTTTAGCTGAACGGTTATGCTCCAAAGCTTCAATTATCTCAAGTTTTTGTTTCACGGTTAAAATCTTTCGCCGCTTAACAACAACCAGTCCTTGGAAATGACTTTTTTTCCTAGTTGCCATCGTAAACAAATATAGCGTATCTTTGTTGGTCCTTCTTAATATGGTTGTCTTTTGCAACTTTCTACAGAAACTGTGAAGACAAAATGTGAAGTAACTGTAGTTCTATGGACTTGCGAATGACTGCTAATGGGTCCAACAGCACTCTCTATAGGGTATATGAGTGATCTTCCAAAAGTTTAGACTCCAGTCCAGCATGATGTTTCTTAGTGTTTCTGGGCCTCACAGATATTTAAAATGTCCCGCATGCATGGCTTCATAGACAAACTACTTAGGCTACTTGATCACATTCATGATTGAGATAAAAACATACACAAAAAATATGTGAGGTGTCATTCTTTTGGAATTTGTGAGAACTCTGATAAAATTGGATGGATCCGAATGACTCTATACTCAACTTTCAACCCAAAAACAATTTTAATTATATAAAAATTTAATATCTTTTTTTTAGTGACATATTAACCAAAACCACATTAATAGTGTCACCATTCACAAAATATTAACTTACCTAGAGGGCAGTCATCACCTGGCATTTTACAGTCTGGACAACATCCATCAAATGGCATTCGACAGATACCACAATTATCATCATTCGCCACCCAGCGCCATGTTGCTACTCCTGTCCAACTAAAACAATGGAAGAATACAAAGTTTATTAATTGATTAAAGATTAGTGGTAAGCATATTCACTCAACAGTACTAAATTATAATGTATAATTGCATGCAATTATTAATTAGCCTGTTTTTACTTTGTAGACTTACCCTTTTTAATACAGCACACAGTAGCAAATATAGATCAAGAAGCACATGGAAATGGTTGGACAAATATGGAAAGAAAGAAAAACCTCATTATTATTTATACAGTAATTTTATATAATAATAAAATTCACTATAACATTACAGTACAAAAAGTTAGTCTGGTATTCTTTCTAGGAAAATGACCGGTATAGACCCCTTGCAATGTTTACATTGCACCTGGCTGAAACGCTGGCGGCGCCCTAACTGGAGGCAGAAAGGCTATCTTAATACACTGTATGGGTTAATAAATATATTTATTTTTGTTGTGCCAAAAATATAAAAACTATAGGATGAAAATCTCATATGATATATTAACATATATTAGGAATTGACAACAAAAATAAAAAGTGTATATCCAAATAAATTAAAATAAATAAATACTAGTCTACCTAATACAAGGCCTAGTAGTAGTAATAAGCCTACCCTAGATAGCCTGGCCTAGCAGACCCAGTCCCACCACCAGGCCTTGATTTTTTCTGCCTGGTGGGCCTAGCTAGCCGCCTGATAAAATAGACTGCTAAATCAATAGTGTACATAATATTATTGCATCTCAGAAAGATCATTTGTTTAACTAAACACATCGCTTACTTTTGACAGTTACTTTCATCCCAAATTGTAAAAAGAAAGTATTTTGTTTAACCCTTCAAACTCCAACTCCTTTCCCTTTTTCTGGACTATACTGTAGATGGTTAATGAATAAAATAGAACAGCTGCGGCCCCACTCTCCTCGATTTGAACAGTCCGCGACAGACCATAAAACATTACCACTGTCTTGGTGCAATGATTTTTAAAAATTATTATTTTTTATTTCAAAAAGAAAATTTTGACTCTGAATATAGATGTAATACCAATATAATAGTCAGTGCTTTTTAAAATACTGTATACCTATCAATAGGGTCCGGCCGTTCAATTACGGTCCATAAATTACATGTAGGCCTACACTTAACTTTTCTCTTTAATAATATTTTCATTATTATCAAAATAAATAGAAATATTTTGAATAATATTAATATAATTTAATTATTTTTAATTGGTAATACTAGTCATTTTATTGGTATTGAGAAAAAAGAATAAAATGTATTAAAATTGTTTAACTTAATAGGTTCTATGTAGTACGAGCCAGAAATGGCGGCCTCCACAAAACAAAGTCGAGTCAATGTAAACAAGACAATTTGCGAACCAAAATATAAGAATGTTTGAATTTACATATTTACAGCTTGTCATTTTGGATCGAAAAGTCGTCACATCGTTATTTGCTTGACAAATTGTTAAATAATTCATTTATATATATCCTCCAGGGCTTCTTACAATCTTAGACCTAGCTAGGTAGGCTAGGCCTAGGCCTATTTTTTCTCCACCTGACACCAGTTGAGTCGAGGTGCTGCTAGCTTATGCCTGCCTTGGCTAAAGGAAAAGGCCAAGGCTGAAATACCATGAATTATTGAATTGTTATATCTGTATAGGATTGTCTGCAAGAAAGTGAAGCTTATAAACATTTCCAGGCTCAAATGCAGTAAATAATAATATTGTAAACCTGATTGAATAATGGAGTTTCCGACGTTCAATTATCCAAAAACATGGCGAAGAACTGCTGATAACATCCCTAGACTTTGTGATGATTATGGTTGTTATGGAGCTGTCAGTATTACCAAGACTTCTGCTACTAGTAAGAGAAAGGACTACGATGATACAAAACAATCTGATTACAAATTTAAATTTAAACGGATTTGTGGAAAACATAGCAATTGTAACTACATTGCTACATCTTCAACTCTGCCATTGCTTCATCCAGATGAAGGTAATGCTGCTGGGATTAATTTATAAAGATTTTTTTACAAGATCTTATTTCAATAGGGAGCTATCGATTTGTTCGACGATGTGACACAAGAACAGAATCACTCATGCGTGACTGTGCTACTGAGTATCCTATGTTCTCTGCATACGTAGATGTGGCCAAATTGCGTCCAGAATCAACACACAACCAGGAGAACTTAACGTTCTTGCATGCGAAGATGGCTCTTAGTTGCGTCATTACGTTTTACGTCCTACTGTCGTCGTGCAATTGAAAGATCCTTAATATCTTTCTCAGAACTTACAGCAATACCAGTCTAAAAAGTAGAAACATGTTTCCAAATGCTGATCAATAGTTGTGCAACTGTCTTGAATTTCATTTACTTACTATTAATAGATCAAACCTTAAACCACTCAAGCTGATGTCATTAAATATTCCTAATAAGTTTTTTTTTTTATATTATATGGCATTGGCTATGGTTACACCAGTCTTCAACGAAAATCCTACTTCTGATTAGATGTTTTTTTTTAATCCAATCCATACATAAACATGTAATCAGAATTAGGAATTACTGTAACAGCAATAACTACTGCCTATTATTTATTTTTATATTGGGTGAGCGCAGACCTCTGGATTTGACTTCACCTACCTTCAGCTTATTCAATATTTCTTATTTGTTTTTCAGATCCAGGAATACCAGATGTGTCAATTAAGGATCTCTTTCAGAACAGGTCAAAAAATAGAAGGCAGCCAACCAGAGTCAACCGAGCTGCACAGCAGGTATCTAGAGAATCCTTGTATTTTTTTGAAGTTTTTTTTTAAATTTTTATTTGAATTTGATATTTTTATTATTATACAAAGATCGACAAACCTTCCTTAAAAATTTATTGCAATCTCCGTCTCTGATACCTAAGGTAGTTTTTTCTATAATTTATACAAAAAGAACAACAGAAGAAAACTTTTAATTGAAATACAGTATAATACAATTTACAGTACAAGTACATACAAACTGGTACTTTTACCATAAGTTTCAAAAATGTGTAATTATGACAATTTATTAAAAGTTCACCTTGAAGAAGATAAATACTGCTTTGGCCTTCCTTTGTTTCTTGATGTTTCCACTATCACCTGCATATACAATAATTCATTTTCTAGGCTGCCTACTTTGTTAGGAAATATCCCGAGATTGCATTTGAAAGCAGTCAGACTCTGCTAAAAGGCTGTTTCAGAACAAGAAACATGAAGCGAAAGAAGAAGGTAAGACACCAAATTTCAGTCTGTACTGTACTATTACACTGTACATGCATATTTTTTATTTTGTGTTTTGATTTTGATATACTCCATTTATTCATAGCCAGTTATTACCAATAACAATAATTGATTCTGATTTTGATGGGTTAACAATATATATCCAAACTACATACACGTACTATGATTCCTCTAAAAAAACTCACCTAATGAACACATCATCCTCTGCTGGTGAAAGCAAGTGAATAAAATATTATTTGTCTCTCAATATAAAAAAGTACTTCCGCTTTTATTTTTTCAGGCATACAGTCATAAATACAAAGACTCACTGGTACCCTTGGTGATTGGAAACATCAAGGCCAAAAAGTCATATGAGCTGTTTGGTGATGTACTTTATGATATACAACCTGATTTACTTCAGTCATTGTTACACGAAGAAATTGAATCCCTGTCTAAAAAAATTGTAAGTCTTATTGAAAATGTGCATGGTTCTCCACTTTGAATAAAAAATGATGTTGTCTTACGTGACTACTTGCAAAGTAACCTGTATATACAAGGTTGGTAGTGAATTGGTGCAAAAGGCTTCTTCCCCGCTGGTGGTCAAGCGCTGCTAAGCGGTGTCTTATGATGATATGTACAATTACAGAAAACTTTATTGTCATAAATATACAAGGTAAAACTATGACATTTTCCTTCCTTATTGCCTTAAAAATGGAAAGACTTTGCAACTTGGTGGTCACTGCAGTGGTGATGATAACATTTTGTAGCCTCTCTGACTCTCATTTGTCTTATTATTGTGTGCTTGTACTCAGGTAAACTATCCATTATACTGTGGTGGTTGTATTACTTACCAGCAAATGAGCAAGCAGTTTGGGATCATTGTCAGTGCTTGTGGTCCACCAATGGATGTGCTCAGTATCCTTTTTATATACAATTATGATCTACAATGACTTTGAATACAAGAAAATGTGGACACCACAATATTGGCATGTAGCACTTGGATTTCTATATTGCTATCAAGAGTACTGCATCTTGAACACTACTCCATACTTTAATAGTTCAAATGCATCGGGAGAATGTGTACAAATGTGGAGCGCTGCTGGATAGTACACAAACTGACGCAGACATAACAAGTTAAACCTGGTTTCCATAAAATCCCTACAGGGTCGCTATAGCAACCACTAAGGTCTGGTTTCCTTAAAATCGTTACACTGTCGCTACAGTGTTTTCAGCACAATCATTGTACTGCATAGCAGTCTCCGCTGCAATCGGGAATGTTCCCCGATTCGACCGACCAATCAGCATCACCAAAAGCTGTCCGCCATAGCATGTAGCTATTGTATGAAAAGCAAGCTTAACCATAGAAATTCCAGGGACAGGATTGAATACAACCACTGTAAAGTGGACATAGGTTTATCATTTGAATAATGTTATTACTGAAAGGAAAACCTATGGGTGATTTTCTAGGCCGAAATAACATTTTAATGATATATCTTAAGTTGTGTTTGCATTGTTGACAAAATATTTACTCAGTACTGACTGGCATTTACAGTAGACTGTTATAACTTTGTCACATGAAATAAGCCTAGGGTTTGATTTTTCCTTAAAAGAGAATTTCAGAAATACAACCAATAGTAATTGAGAAAACATCTAATTCAGTTTCATCATCATCAAAGCAATCTAATCCCTCAGATGTTGAAACTGTGATGGCATCCCAAAATATCCCTACCACATCTACTAAAACATCTGAAGATGTTTCTTTTGTATCTTCATCAACAACTTCAAAATCTCCTGCTTTACCCTCAAAGACATTGCCAAGTACCCCTCCATTGTCACCTATAGCATCTCAAAATCCATTGGCACCCTCTGCCACTGATGCTACAAGACCCTCAACATTAAAAGATGAAGATGTTGATTATACAATAGTCACCGAGGAAGACCCACATCTGATTGCTCTTCAAGGCGTTATCAGACAAATCACGTCCAGCAGGACATCAACTCAAGGTAAAATTCTGCACCATCTGTCTGCACACCTAGTAATATTGTAATAATTTACACTTGCACTAAATATACCTCGTTTGATTTAAACAAAATGTAGAAACAAAATTATACAAGTTTTTGAAGTATATTTATTGTTTTTTTTGGCTAAGATGCTCACCCTCATATCCAGAATTCCTGAGTTTAATCCTGCCTAAAATTTCATAATTGTTTTTCTCAAACAAAACATCCCCAAGCCTCATAAAGAAGTAGTCAGAGATGTAGAGTATTAAGGGTTCCAAATGGTCACTGTTTGTCACTAGATAATCACTGTTACACATGGCGTATGGTTCTTGAGGTTCCCACTTGAGTCAGTTGACTGAAGTGGCGTACTTCCTCAAAAGACTGACTTGACTTACGTGTGTACAAGTAACCTCTCTTACAAGTGATCCTCCTCCATTCGCGCAGAAACGACCGACATCTGATAGTTTTCTTTTTTTTTTGCTTCTAATTTTTTGTTGTTATACCTGTTTGTAAGCATGGTGAATATCAATAAACTGAATTTAGCCATGGTGTGAACCGTTTCAATAAACTGTATTTTATAGATGGTGAAATGTTGAATGCATCAATTTTGTAATATTATTACTTTGTCAGTGTTATTATTTTTTGTTGGTAGAAATTGTTTACATAGGAATAAGAACTGACTATCACTGCCACATCATCACAACAGAATATACTGGTGACCAGCTGACCTTTCAGATTCTACACACGGTTGAATTTCAGTATCAACTCACATACATTGCATTAAGGTATGTACGAATATATAACCTTGTATTAATATTATCCATGTAAAATCGTGGGTTATTATCCCAAAATTTGTTTATTTTGCAGTCCATTTATTCCTGGTGAGTGTGTTGTAACATTAGAAAATGGTGGAATTGATTTAATTACAAGCAATAAAGGGTAAGTTTAGGCTTGAATTGAACTTCATAACATCGCTTTCTATCAATACCAATCAAATCTAATTAGATCGACAATCAGACATGATAAATATGAATTATACAATTATAAAAATTATACAATTAAAAAACATTAGGTCATGTAATAAATGGGGTAGGTAGTACTAATGTATACATAGGTCAAAACAAAACAGACATTTTAATGGAAGGCTTAACCAAGTTGTTTTTTCCGTTTCATTTTACTTTGCTATTTGGTACG